GATGGAGTGCTAGCCTTGAGCTGGAGAGCTGAGGGACAGTGCCCAAGCCCAGAGTTCAAGCCCCATAATTGACACACAAAAAAATTTCCAACACAACCAAGGGTACAATGATCAAGACATTTAACATTTTACACTATTCTTTAATCTTCAGAACTTATTCAAGTTTTACTAACTCACTGTCCATCATAGGACCCAATCTAGAATCACATGTTGCACTTACTAGCCTTCCTTGATGTTTCCAACATATAGAAAAGTTAAAAGAGGGGCTGGGAAGGTGGCTCAGTGGTAGAGCGCTTGCCTTGCATGCTTGAGGCCCTGGGTTCGATTCCTCAGCACCACATAAGCAAAAAGAAAAAAACCAGAAGTGATGCTGTGGCTCAAGTGGTACAACACTAGCCTTGAGCTGAAGAGCTGAGGGACAGCGCCCAGGCCCAGAGTTCAGGCCCCACGACCGGACCCAAAAAAAAAAAAAAAAATAACAAGGAACATCTGCATAGTCATCACTAATTGTTGCCATTTGTCCTGTTTGCTTTTCCCATGTGTCTCTATATATCTGTATCAGGCTCTGGAAGAGAACTTCTGTGATAACAAATTATAGTTACTTTTTTTGGAGCGGGGAGGAGGTTGGTCATGTGGCTTGAACTCTGGGCCTGGGCACTGTCTCCCAGCTCTTCTGCTCAAGGTAAACACTCTACTGCTTGAGAGCCACAGCACCACTTCTGGTTTTCTGGTGGTTAATTGGAGATGAGTCTCACGGACTTTATTGCCAGGGCTGGCTTTGAACAGCAATGCTCAGATCGCAGCCTCCAGAGTAGCTAGGATTATAGGCATGAGCCACCAGTGCCTGGCTATCTGGCTACGGTTACTTTTGTTGCTGCTGTCTGGACTGGGTTTTGAACATAGAGTCTCATACTCGCTAATCTTCACTTAAGTTATGCCTCCAGCCACCCCCCACCCTTTTTTTTTTTTTTCTTTCTTTTTTTTTTTTTTTTTGCCTAGGCAGGTCAGCCTGGACCACAAACTCTGGCTTAAGTCTCTGGTGTAGGATGACAGACATTAATCAGTATGCTTATGTTTTTGTTATTATGGGGGATCTTGATAACTTTGCCCAGGCTGACCTCAAACCCAGGTCTTCCACACAGATCTCCACTTGCCAAGTAGCTGGCATTACAGGTATGAGGTACTGCATCTAACATGACCATTGAGTGCATTTAGACCATTGAGTGCATTTAGAAGACTAAGCCACCAACCAGGTTGGCTCATTCAGGATATGAGAAAGAAAATTCAGGAGCTCAGTTCTGGACATGTGTAATGCAGATATTTACTAAACACTCAGATATTTTATCCATCGAAAAAAAATAAGACATACTTCTTTTATCAAGCTCTGACTTTCCCTTAGAAATATTCTATTCAACTCTGCCTCCTCTAGACTTTGCCCTTAGTGTCCTGTGGCCTTCCTAAGCAATCCAAGACTTCTGCATGGGACATTTAGTCATTACAAGACCAAGGGACAACAAAGTGGAGGTGACAAGTGGGCTACTGGATACGAATGTGGAGTTCCAAAATAAGGCCCAGCCGAAGACATAAATTTGAGAATGAGTAGACACTAATCACTCCATCAGGCTGGATCAATCACTTAGGGTATGAGGAGATAGGAAAGAGCCCAGGACAGGAAAAAATCACCATTTCAGACCATTTTAGCCCAAAGTTACTTTCTTCATTCCTTCTTTTTCAAGAATCCTGGCTACAGCTGGGCACCAGTGGCTCACGCCAATATTCCTAGGTACTCAGGAGGCTGAGATCTGAGGATCATGGTTTGAAACCAGCCCAGACAGGTAAGCATGTAAGACTCTTATCTCCAATAAACTACTCAGAAAAAGCCAGAAGTGGTGCTGTGGCTCAAGTAATAGAGCACTAGCCTTGAGCAAAAGAAGCTCCGGAACAATGCCCAGACCCAGAGTTCAGGCCCCAGGACTGGCAAAAAAAAAAAAAAAAAGAAAGGAAGAGAAAAAGAAAAAAATATGCTGTCTACAAAGTAACAATCTGATGAGAATGAGGAGTGAGGCTCAAAGGCTATTCTAGAAGATACTGCTCTCCATACCAAGGTGTGGATATGACCCACATCCTGCCCAGAGACTGGGCTATATGACAAACGATCTCCACCACACAGAGCCACTCACCTTTCAAGGTAAGCTGAGACTTCTCAAAAGGCAGGGCCACGCCTGCCCGGCTGGAGCTGGCGGAGGCCATATCATCACCAGCAACTGCAATACAAGCAAAGCAGGGGACTTAGCTACTTCCTGAGAAGATTAACGACATAAACGCAATTTTAATATTTACGTTAAAATTAAAGAGACAGGGAAAAAAACTGTGCATGGCGGTACATGCCTGTAAGCCCAGCACTTGGGGGTGGGGGAGAGAAGGGTAAGGGGTTGAAGCTAGAGTATTACATATCTGTTTATTCCCATCTCAACCCAGTATGGGCTACATAGCAAGTTCTAGGCCAGCCAGGGCTACATCTTGAGACCATCTCAAAACAACAAAAAATTAAAAATAAAGAGACAGAGGCAAAAAAAATCAGAGTGTTTGTTGTCCCTCTGTCTCATAATGACTAATGCTCCTACAGCAGTTTTAGGAGAGCCTAAGAGGACCACAGGACAAAAAGGGCAATGTCTGGAGAATGCAGAATAGAACCGAACATCTCCAAAACCAAAGTCTCTGATCAACAACAGCAAACTAATAGAACTGTTTGAATGGGTAAAAGATCTGATTAGACATTTCACCAAAGAAACCCAAATGGCTAATGAAGCCATGAAAAGATGGTCAACATCATTAGCCATCAGGTGTCCCTGTCACTCCATCTTGCCTAGAAGCGGAAGTCAAGCTGGCATTCTGAATGTATCTGTACTCAAATGTTATTTTTCTTTTGGAACATCATCATTTGTCATTTGGAAAGACATCAGCTCATTAAACTATGTAGAGATTCCAAATGTTGACACATTTCATTATACAATATCAAAAAAATCACATTTGTGAATGTCACCTCTAATCTTCTCACATAAACCTTCAAGCACTAGTAGTTGCCCAGCTCCTAGTGGGTAGATATACAAGGCCCAAAATTCAGATCTATACTTAAGAACTATTTTGTCACTGGCAACAAATACTGCCAGTTGTTTTCCTTGAAATGTCAGGCTCACTTCACTCATTTTGGAGAAGTCTGCCAAATACTCCTCTAGTGACTTTCATTTGTCTCTTAGTTGTTTTCTCAAGTAAAAAATGACATTTCATGAAAAAGCAAGAATTCAGCCCTTAACTCAAACAAGTGTTACAAGTGCTGTCAGCACAGCCCTCGCAGTTCAGTGTGCAGCGTGTACTGTCTGGCCTACTCCCCTTCAGCCCAGAACACTACAAACACATGTGCTTGCTCCAGAGTCAGTACTGAGTACAAGGCACAGGTTTCACTGTGTCTGTACACCTGAGTTCATGCTGGGGCACTGTTTTTTCCACCCTTTGCTCTACACCAGCAGTGCAAAGGCAGGAAACAGAGTCAGGCTGTGTGGCTCCTCCCCTTCTCTCTTCTCTCTCTCTCTCTCTCTCTCTCTCTCTCTCTCTCTCTCTCTCTTTCTGCCACCACCATCAGGGTGTCCCAAAGCTCAGGGCTGTATTCTCCTCTTAGTCTTCCCAGCCTGTCTCATAGTTTTCAGATCATCTTCTTGTTGACAATCCCAAATTGGTGTGCCTCATAGGATGCTCAGCCTTGATACTCAGAATGTCACATGCACTGACCTGGAAAGAAAACTGCACTTTCAACACATAGACCGAGGAACTGCTCATCCGTCCTCAGCTCAGGACAACTCCTTCTAGTGGCTCAGGGCAATCCTCCCAACTTGCCTACTTCCCCTTTCTCTTCTACACCCCACAGCCAAAGTCAATAAATCCCTCTGGTCATACCTTTAATCTTTCCAAGTTCAACCACCTCTATTGTCACCACTTCAATCCAAAGCACCAAGATCTCTCACCCAGATTATTGTTGTCCCTCTACCTGCCCTTTGCCCCCATCAATCATATCTCCAATTCACTGGAGTCATTTTTGTTTTAATTATGTAAAGGAGTCCCATCACTCAGATATTCAAAACTATCCAGCCACTTCCTATCTGCCACGGTTTGGACATGAAGAAATATCCCCTAAAAAGGCTGCTGTGGGGAGGGCTTGGTCTCTAGCTGGTGGAGTTATGGGGAAGGGATTGGCTCATCGGGGCTCTAACCTCACCAGCAGATGACCCATCCCATGAGTTCACAGCTGAACAACCCAGTGGTGGGGTCTGTGTGGAGGAAGCAGATTGCTGAGCGTTTACCCTTGAAGAGAGGGTCATACACTGCTCTCTGCCCTCTCCCCAGCTATCCTCTAAACATGAGATAAGCAGCTTGCAGCCCACATGCTTCCTGCCAATATATTCTGCCATGGACTGAAACCAAGAGTAGAAATAAACCTTTCCACCTTTAAGCTGTTTCTCTCAAGTATCATCACCATGACAGTAAACTGAAGACTACACCTTCTAACTCCGTAAAAGTCAAAGTTGTACAAGTGACCTACAAGGGACTCCATGATACCCTCTTACCCCTTATCGACACACACCTCCCTGACTCCATCCTCTATGGGATCTCCGCAGTCCCAGGGCTGAGGAGTTTATTCCTTTAATGTCTGCCTACTGGCTGAAGTGTAAGCCTCCTGAGGGCTGTGATGTCTGACTCAAGTTTACCTGGAAGTTGGTGTCTAGAACAAGACCTGGTTCTTAGTAGGAATATTTCTGGAATGAATGAACTTGAGCCTCAGGTTTCTAAGATTTAAAAAGATGTTTCCACTCCCTTAAACTAAATTTATTTGGGAGAAGCAGGAGGAAGACCTAGTCTCTCTGCTGCCATCAGAAAAGAAAGATTAAAAGCCTATTGGGAAGAAGTCTTGAAGGCTTCTAACTCTACCCTACCTCTTACTTCTTTTTTGTTTGTTGTTGCCAGTCCTGGGGCTTGAACTCACGGTCTGGGCACTGCCCCTGAGCTGCTTTTGCTCAAGGCTAGCACTCTACCACTTGAGCCACAGCACCACTTCCGTTTTTTTCTGTTTATGTGGTACTTGAGAATGGAACCCAGGGCTTCGTGAATGTTAGGCGAACACTCTACTACTAAGCCACATTCCCAGCCCTACCTCCTATAGAGTTAAAGAAACAGAAACTGGACTTTCAGTATCCCACTCTGAGATCAGGTAGAAAGAGGAGGTGAGATTCTCCACTGTACACAGAAGCCATGTTCACGGCCATGGTTGTAATGGCAAAAATTTCTGAGGGAATGGATAAACTATATTTCTAAAATGGAACAAGGCTTGGTGGCTCATGCCTGTAATCCCAGTTACCTGGAAGGGAAAGATCAACAGAATCATAGTTCAACTTATTGCCAGCCTGGGCAATAAGTTAATACTCCATCTCAACAAACAAGCCAGGGATAGTAATTCACATCAAGGATGTGGGGAGTCAGCAGTGAGAAGATTGATGTCTGGGGTCAGACAGTCCAATGGACAAAAACATGGATAGTCCAACCGAAAAATAACCTAAAGCCAAAAGGAAATAGGGGCATAGTTCAAGTGATAGAGCACCTGCTGAGCAAGTGAAAGGTCTTGAGTTCAAACCCCAGTACTGCCCAAATAGAAATATGGGCTGTTAACTGAGAGATGTTAATTCAGTTTACCTGTACAGGTCCCAAATCAGAAGAGAAAGGAAAAAAGCAAGCAAGCAGCCTGAGCTCAGCAGATGCTGTTGTTGTATACCTGAACATACACAGAACATCAGTTTATGTTGTGACACACAAATGTAGCAAAACATAAAATCATAGACATGAAAGATATGCCAAACTCAAGTTCAAAACAGAAGTTCCTTATGGAGTCAGATAGGAGTGAACAGGGGACTTGGAAAAAGGAAAGACCAAGAGGACTTCCACAGTATCTGCAGCATTTTATCTTTAAAAGGACAAAGTTCTAACTGAGAGCTGGTGACTCACACCTGTAATCCTAGCTACTGAGGAGGCTGAGATCTGAGGATCATGGTTTGAAGCCAGCCCGGGAGGAAAAAGTTTGTGAGACTCTCATCTCCAATTAACCACCAAAAAGCTGGAAATTGATGGAGGTGTGACTCAAGCAGTAGAGCACTAGCCTTGAGCACAAAAGTTCATGGATAGTACCTAAGCCCTGAGTTCAAGCCCTAGGACACAAATGTGCTGAAGCAATATGGTAAACACTTTCATAAATCCAGAAGCAGCTTAGACTGTCCTGTTTGTCTTTGAACCATTGGGATTTTTTTTTATAACTGAATAATAATTTTAAGGGAGAGATCCTAACTTGAGCAAGCAAGATAAAAGCAATGATTATAAATTTAACTCTGGGGCTTTTAGCAACAGGGGCTGAAATACTAAAAGCTAGAAATTCATTATTTATAGGCTTTAAAAATAAAAGAATATTTTAAAAATCTTTGCATCTACTGGGACTCTTTCCTAAGGCAACTCAACTAAGGGTCATTTTTAAACTACCTTGTTCTCCTGGGCTTTGCTGCTTTTAGCCTTTGTTCTAACACTTCAAGCTCCATCTACAAGGCCTGGGAAGCAGGAGAAAAACTAACCTTTTTGATCCCCAAAACAGAATCAGTGGGATAAATTTGAAAGAAGGCTCAGAAAGAACCCAGACAAGTGGAGGAGGTGGAAAAGCAGGGTGGAGAAGGCCACCCTGTTTTCTTCTTCTCTGTCCTTCGTAACTAGTCTGCTATTTATCCACAGTCACCCAGGTCTGCCGAGCCAATCAATCAGGCAGGCATAGCCAAGCTCCACATAACAGAAAATAACCATCACCAGGAAGGGAAGACCAACAGCAAGCCCATCCAAGTATTTTCAAGCCCATTGGCTTTTGTCTCTGTGTCTCATCCTAGACAGGGTTCCTAGCATGAATGGAACTGGGCTCAAATCTCCACTGTGCACTACAGGAAGCTCTTGAAACATCAGGCCCCAGTCTACATCTACTCTGACTATATATATATATATGTGTGTGTGCACTCCAGGAATTTTTCCCCTGCTAACAGTGGTGAGATGAGTTTACATCCGAATGTCCAAAAGACAAAAGACCTGAAAGCAGGGGAGGAGCCTGGAGCAGGCAGGGGAGAAGGGAAAACACATTTAGAATATGACTGTAGTTTAGATACACAAAGAAGGTCACCACTGAAAGCACT